TGGACAGAAAATATTCTCGCAAAATTCCAGCTCGATACGTTTACAGGTTGCCGAGGTTACTTCTGCCAAAAAATTTACATATTTTTTCAGACGTCCGTACATGGGACTTAAGCGCGTATGAGCACTAATATTAAAACAGCACATGAGGTGGGAATATGGTCCTACAATTTCATCCCCAGTTTTCCTATTTGTTAGATTGAAAATGGATGACGAAGTTCATTCGCCTCCAGACACACACACAGATGCAAATAAACATATACGAGTAATATTTCGACAATATGCGTTTTTGCATTTGCATAATTTCCAAGAACGCCTAAAAAGCATTCATTCACGAAGAGGCTGCCGTCATCTCTCTGTTCTAAGGACTGCACAGAAGCAAGCTTACGGCGGTAGCCTGGCATGTATTACTACCAATTTACCACAGAAACGAATTTATCAATAGAAACAAAGGAATTGGCTTTCCCACTGGTCGAGTCGAATTCTCGACCTGCACAAGAGTAGCGCTACTTGCTATTCCGCCATGTTTGCCTGCAGGATTATGAGCTTGATTTATGAAAAAAAAATGCGAAGTATGCACCCCAGATGCTTATCTCTGACAACGTTCCAGCGCGGCATGCCCAATGCAGTCATTCCTTTCTGGGAATCAAATCTGTTGGTGCCCGCTTGCAATGACAGGAAAGTATCGCCGGCGCGCAACTGTTCCAGATTCCATCTTTGTTTCGTTTTCTTCTGCTCATCTTCCACCTCGTCCTGCAGAACTAGCAATGTTTCACTGATTGTTGGTTTTAGTTTTAAACTAATTTTAAAAAGTAATTATTTCACTCACTTTCAGGTTTTTACGCCTGCTTTAAAACCTTTCCACTAATCTGAATTTTGGTATGAAACTGAAGAGTTTTATTCCGTTATTAGCTGTTATAGAGAACGTTTAGGGAAGGTTACTAGTAGATGAGCTAGAGCGGCGGAATTATCCTCTTTGGGAAATACAAAAAGTAGTTTCAAAGACGAATGTCAGCTCATGAATGTGGAATAGATACCCTGTCAATAATCAGATGAATCTTGCGTGCGTCATCATTCACTTCATCCACGTGCCTCACTGCTGCATCTGCGCCATACACCAAGTTCAGCATAAGAAGGGGTGATTATTACCAAAAAACAAATTGCATTTTTAAACTTGGAAAGAATCCAGGCCTGGGCGAGAAACGCGTAACTTCTGAGACCCACAAAAAACAAACGATTTTTCGAAGGAAACGTGATGTGAAGCCGAAAACTTGCAAAATTCCAAAACTCATGCTTTGCCAGTTTTTGCTCAACGCTTTCAAGTTACGCTGACCAATA